ACCAGAATTAGCCAAATGGAAAAAGAGGTACAGAAACTCACTAAAGAAAATAATTCCTTAAAAATTAAAATTGGGCAAGTGGAAGCTAATGACTCCATGAGACACCAAGAAACAATTAAACAAAGTCAAAAGAATGAAAAAAAAGAAGAAAATGTGAACTATCTCATTGGAAAAACAACTGGCCTGGAAAATAGATCAAAGAGAGACAATTTAAGAATTACTAGACTACCTTGAAAGCCATGATAAAAGAATAGACATCATATTGCCAGATATTATCAAGGAAAAGTGTCCTGATATCTAAGGCCAGAGGGTAAAATAGAAATTGAAAGGATCCACCAATCACCACCTGAAATAGATTCCAAAATGAAAACCCCAAGGAATATTATAGTTAAATTGCAGAGCTCTAAAGTCAAAGAGAAAATACTTCAAGCAGTCAGAAAGAAACATTTAAAACATTGTGGAGCAACACTTAGGATCACAGAAGGTTTAGCAGCTATCACATTAAAGGAGCAGAGGGCTTGGACTAGGATATTCCAGAAGTCAAAAGAGCTGGTATTACAACCAAGAATAATCTACCCAGCAAAACTAAGTATAATCTTGGAAGGGAAAATGGATATTTAATAAAATAGAGCACTTTTAAGCATTCCTGGTGAAAAGATCACAGGTGAATAGAAAATTTGACTTTCAAATACAAAACTCAAGAGAAGAAAAAATTGATAAACATGAAAGAGAAATCATGAAATCATAAGGGATTCAATAAAGTTAAACTGCTTACCTTTCTACACATGTAATTTCTAAGAACTTTATGATTTTTAGGGCAGTTAGAAGGATTCTACATAAAAAGAGGTTGTGGGAGTGAGTCAATTTTGTTGGGATTATTTAAAAAAATAGGCAAGAAAGAAGGATGTCCTGGAAGAAGGGGAAAGGGAGAAGAAGAATAGAGAAAATTATCTCATATAAAAGAGGTACAAGGAAGAGTTTTTACAGGGAGGAGAAAATGGGGGGCAATACTTGAACCTCACCCATATATAAATTGATTCAAAGAGGGAAAATATATGCACATATATGTGTATGTGGGTATATGTAAATATATATATATAATATGCTTAACTGGTAATAGAAATCTATCCTATCCAAAGGAAAAGTGATAAAAGGGGGACAGGAGATAAAAGAAGATATAAGTAAATAAAAGAAGACAGGAATTAGAAGTAAAACAGACTTTAAAGGAGAGACAGGACAGAGAGAGGAGAGAGAGAGAGAGAAATAGGATAGAGGGAAATGCACAATTAGTAATCAGAACTGTGAATGTGAATGAGATTAATTCGCTCATAAAATGGAATCAGACAGCAAAATGGATTAGAAACCAGAATACAATCATAGGTTATTTAAAAGAAACACTCTTGGAAAAGACAGAGACACACATAGTTAAGATAAAGGCCTGGAGGAGAATCTATCATGCTTCAGCCAAAGCAAAAAAGACAGAGGGTAGCAGTCATTATCTCATACAAAGCAAAACCAAAAATACACCTAATCAAAATGAATAAGCAGAGAAACTATATTTTGCTAAAAGCAACTATAGACAATGAAGTAATATAAATTCTAAATATACATACATATATACATATATATATATATACACACACACACACACACACCAAATAGCATAGCATAGCATCCAAATTCCTGAAGAATTACAGAGGGAAATAGACAGTAAAACTTTACTAGTAGGGGACTTCAACTTTTCCTTCTCAGTGCTAGATAAATCTAATCATAAAACAAATTAGAAAGATGTTAAGGGGATGAATAGAATCTTAGAAAAGTTAGATATAATAGACCTCTGGAGAAAACTGAACAGGAAAAGAAAGGAGTATAACTTTTTCTGAGCTGCACATGGCACCTTTACCAAAACTGACCATGTATTAGGCCAGGCATTAAAAATCTCACAACCAAATGCAGCAAAGCAGAAATATTAAAGGCATCCTTTTCAGACCATAATGCAATAAAAATTACATTAAATAAAGGGCTATAGAAGTATAGATTAAAAATCAGTTGGAAACTGAATAATCTAATCCCAAAGAATGAGTGGGTCAAAGAATAAATCATAGAAACAACCAATAATTTCATTAAAGAGAATGACAATAATGAAACAATACACTAAAATGTATGGGTCAAGAATATCAAGGGAATCAATGAAAAAAATGTGAAGGAAGATGGCCTGGCAGTTCCAGATTTCAAATTATATTACAAAGCAGTGACCATCAAAACAATCTGGCACCAGCTAAGAAATAGAAAAACATAATAAATCAATAAATAAAAACAAAGGAAAGCAAAGGAAGAAAATTATGAAAAGACATTTAGTAGCTTGTTAAAAAGAGGCACAAAAATACTGAAGAAAATAACATCTTAAAAACGAAATTGACTAACTGGAAAAAGAGGTACAGCAATGGATGAGTGGAATACATTAGGTACGTAATACACAGCAGCAAATAACTATAAATAATCTATTGTCTGACAAACCCAAAGAGCCAAGCTTTTAGGACAAGAACTCACTGATGAAAATTGTTGGGAAAACTGGAAAGCAGTTTGAAAGAAACTAGGCATAGACCAACATCTCACACTATAAACAAAGATAAGATCAAAATGGATACATAACTTAGACATAAAGGGTAATATCAAAAGTAAATTAGGAAAGCATGAAAAAATGTAGCTGTCAGATCTTTAGTTAAGGGGAGAGTTCATGACCAAACAAGAGATAGAGAGGATCACAGAAAGCAAAATACAGTAGTCTCAATACTTCCTTGCTTGTCTGTATCTCCTTCTGAAATTCCTTCAACTTTCTTCTGTGTATTTTTAAAAAAATTTCATTGATTCTCCTTTTTTTTTAATCATCACTGTAATCCCCCCTCAATTGCCCCATATATCTTTTCATTCCTCCCCCTCCCAATATGCCTGTCATGTAAATAAGTAAGCATATTTAGGCAAAACAAGCATGTATTAGCCATGTCTGAAAATATATGTCTCATTCTCCATCTCTTATCTATTACCTCTCCAAAGAGAGGTGGGAAGCATGATGCATCTATCAGTTTTCCTTTATAATATTATAACCATCATTTAAATTGTTTTCATAGTTCTGCTCACTTCACTCTGCATCAGTTCATGTAAGTCCTTCCAGGTTTCTCTGAATCTCTCCTCTTTGTTATTTTTCCAGTTCTTAACAACAACAAAAAAAATGCTGGTATGAATATTTTTGTATATATTGGTCCTTTCTCTCATTTTTTGAATTTTTAGGGGATATATGCCTATCATTGGTATTGCTGGGTCAAAAGGTATTTACAGCTTAATAACTTTTGGGATTTCAAATTGTTTGTCAGAATGGTTAGATCAGTTCATAGTGCTAGCAACAAAATATTTATGTGCTCCATTGCCCCTCCAATGACCAACATTTTTCTTTTTAGTCATCATTACCAGTGTTATAGGTGTGAGGTAGAGTTTCAGAGTTGTTTTAATTTGTATCTTCAATTATTGTTGATTTGGAACATTTTCATATGGTTTTTGGTATTTGAAGTCCTTCTTTGTAGAACTGTATGTTCTTTGACCGTTTATCTCTTGGGGAATTACTCTTACTCTACTTTATTTGTATTCCTTACATATCTGCACACAAGACTTACCAGAGAAACTTGTTTCAAGTTTCCTTCTTTCTCTCAGTTATTGTAACTGTTTCCCTTCCAAATATATTGCTTTTGTTTGTTCAAAACCTTTTCAATTTTATATAACCTAGATTGTCCATTTTATCTCCTTAGATCTCTGTCCTTTGGTCAAAAGCTTTTCCCTTATCCATAGTCATGAAAGGTACGACCTTCTCTGTTAGTCTGTTTTGACCTTTTATATCTAGGCTAGGTATCCATTTGGAGCATATTGTGACATATGGTATAAATTGGTCTCTAAGCCTAACTTTGCAACTTTCCCAGTAGTTTTTGTCAAATCACTGAGTCATTGGAATGATTTTTATCTGTTGTTGTTTTTTTAATCATATATAACAAAGACAACCTGAATGCATTAACTGTCCCCAATATATAAGTAGGTTGTATTCTAAAAGTTAAGATGTGATTCAGTCATCTGGAACTCAGAACACATGGTTTTTAGAAACACATGTTACATAGAGTAGTCAGATTTTTGGACCATCCTGAAGAAGCCCTTTTAAATCATTTTTATTTAACAGGCTTAAAAAAAAGGTCCTGAACCTGTGATTTCATTAGTATGAGGCACTCCTAGGTGAGAAAAGTCTCTAAAATCGTAGGTCATTGCTTCTTACTGTCTTAAGAGAGTTAACTAGAGCATTGAGGGGTTCAGTAACTTGCCCAGGGTTATTTAGTTAGTATGCATCAGATTTTGGACTAGAACCTAAATCCGTCTAGCTTTCAGGTTGGCCATCTCTCTCTATCCAGTATGCAGTGCTTCCTTTCTAATTCTTTAATATGGACATAGAATCAGAGTATTGATTCTGAGAGGGAATCATCCAGTCCAATCTAATCTTTTCATTCTTATGGAAGAAGGAACTAAGGTTGGGAGAAGGGAAGTTACTCAAGATCATGAAAGTAGCAAGCAGGAGACCTGGAATTGGAATCTTGGTCCTCTGACTCAAAATCCAGTGCAGTTCTTTCTGCCACATTGCATTGTCTCTTAACGAGGTGAGAAACTATTCCACGTAGGAACACAGAAGGAAGTTAGAACAAGTGATGATGGGGAGTGCCAAAAATGGGAGATGGGGTGTTGATTATTGTAGTTGTTGTTCAGTCTCTTCAGTCACGTCCAATTCTTTGTGACCCCTTTTGGAGTTTTCTTGGCAAAGATACTGGAGTTGTTTGCCATTTAATTCTCCAGCTCATTTTACAGAAGGGAAAACTGAGGCAAAGAGGGTTAAGTGACTTGCCCACTTCCAGCTAGTAAGTGTCTGAGGCTGGATTTGACCTAGGAAAATGAGTCTTCCTGACTCCAGACTGGGCACTCTATTCACTTTGCCACTTAGTAATGCCAAAAATGTGAAGCAGGGTGGGGTTGTTAGAATGCTGTTTTGAAATACTTGTTATTTTGCGGTCTACCAGCTATACAGTGAGCATCACTAGGAGAATAGGTGAAGAAGACAGAGACTTAGGGTCCTTCCCCAAAATTCGAGGTCCTAAAATACAAAAATATATACAGAAATGAGGAAATGGGACTGTTTCTGGCCCTCAATCACAAGAAAATTGCCATGCTTTCCTCTCTAAAACTTTTCTGACTGCTTATTCCCCTTTACCCCCATTCAAATCTTAATCCTTTCCTCTGGTGTGGACAAGCCATAGCCCTTTGTTTCATTGTGTTCTAATTCTTTGGGCAGTAATTCCACTGAAAGCAATGGCATGTGCACATACACACATACATGTTCACATATGTGCATGCATACACCCGTGCTCATGAAGACAATATCAAGACCTAATATTAATCAGTTTACTATATGTTAACAAATTTAAATATGTACAGGATTTTGCTTCCTTAAATTGAACCAAATGTAGATGGATAGCAATCCTTAATTTAGCTAAAAATGAAACTTTGGTATGGTCCCTTAGTCACACCATCATTCTATTTATTGGTGGCTATGTCTGTGCAGAGCTTATATGGTTCCTAGGTCTCATTTCGCCAGCATAAAACCTAGAATTTCACATCTTGTTAAAAATATTTTAATGGATATCTTCTGTTTTCACATTGCTTACATTTCTACCTTCCTAGACAGCCATCCCTTATAACAAAAAATTGTTTTCAAAAATGAAGATAAAGATGAAGTAAAACCAATCAACACATTGAGATAATCTGACATCGTATCACCGTTTTCCTTAATAGGCAAACACAGTATAAGAGCTCAGATTTTTAAAATTTGGTTTGAATCACTACTGTGACTTAATAATGAATCATCAAAAATATAGCCACACAGTTAAATTTACTGTGTCATTTTGGGCTCTTAGTGTTTGCCTATTTGTCATTTTCTAACCATTGAATCTTTTAGTTGGCCTTTTAGTCCATTTTTTCCTGGAATCATCTATCTGTAGTAGTTACCTAAATTCATTTCCTAAACTCCGAAAGCCTTTGGCCTTGACATTTAAGTTCTTTAGGTCTTTTTATTAAGTTTCTATTTTTTTATTTTTTATCTTCTTTTCTTGGTTTGGTCCACATTGGCTTAGAAAGAACACTAGATGAGGATTCAGAAGACCAGGGTTAAATCATAGTTTTGCCACTTACTAGCTTAGGAGACCAGGGGATGTTGCTTTATTTCTCTGAACCTCTGATTCCTTACCCATAAAATGAGTAGTTAATCTTCTAGTACCTATCTTATAGGTTTGTTGTGAGGATAATAAGGCCATGGTAGATTACTTGGTATAGTAGGGAGTCTCTTGGGCACAGAGTAAGGATCAATGGATTTGAATCCTGGCTCCAACAATTATTATCCTGAAGCTCAGGTTTCTTATCTTTAAAATGGAGAGAATAATATTTGTACTGCTTACCTCACGGATTGATACTGGGAATGCACTTGGAAAACTTGAAAGCACTGTATAAATAGGAATTATTTTATTCTATACAATTGTTTATATTTTTCTTTTTTATACTGCCCTTATAGTTACTGAAAAGGTATTTGTTTGCAAGAGCTGGGCAAAACCTGCACACACTGATAGAAAGGAGAAAACACAGTAAAAATAAATCCAACATTATTTATTCAAGTATCTGTCATGCTGTGCCCTTAATGGGTGTAGATATCACTAAAGCAATAAAAAGAGCACATTAGGCAGAGATATTGATGCCAGGGACAGTTGCTTAAGAGATTAGGAATAAATCAAGTATTTCCAATATAGATGAACACCACCTGGGTTTCCATCTTACCAAAGATAATCAGAATACATAATGGCAACCAGGATTGCTTGTTCATTGTTTCTTGGCATCTATTCAATCTAATATGTTAAATATTTGTTATGGACCTACTACATATAAGGTACAGTGCAAGGAGTTGGAGATACTAGGACTTTTATAATAAAGATTATGATGTTAAAGGATTGTCTCCCTCCCACCCCTTCCCAAGGGGTATGTGGAAAAACATGTACATAAATAATTATGATGTAAGGGAAAGTGAAATAAATGCAAAAGGTAAGGTCTAGGTAAGATTGCTAATAACAAAGAATCCAAATTAAGCCATTCATCTTTATGGGCACCTGGATGGTACAGTGGATAGAGTGCTGGGCCTAGAGTCAGGAAGACTTATTTTTCTGAGTTCAAATCTTGCCTCAGACACATACTAGCTGTGCAACTTTGGGCAAGTCCTTGAACTCTGTTTGCCTCAGTTTCCTCATCTGTAAAATGATCTGGAGAAGGAAATAGCAAACCACTCCATTATCTTTGCCAAGAAAACCCCAAATGGGGTCATGAAAAGTTGGACATGTCTGAAAAATGACTGAACAATAAACAACTCTGGACCATAGGCTCAGGAAAAGGAAAACAAGATATATCAATGAAAGCTAAATGATTGATCTGCCTAATCCTTGTGAGGCTGCATCTGACTCATAATTAGAAAGCAGGTAAACCACTTGGCTCTCTTTTAATCTGAACTTCTTGACTCAGTCAAGGTGTGACAGGACAGCTCAGCTTGGGAGTTCCACGCAGCTCAGTGACCTAGGTACTAGCCTGTGCTTTCTCAGAATTTTGAGGAGAAGTCAGTGATGTTTCAGCTATTCCAATGCTACATTTGTCCTTTAGTCACTCAAGTTTAGTGACATAATGTAGAAAGCTCCCTTGTCTAAGAAACCCAGATGCTCTGGGCTTATTAATTAATATTATTAACAATTATTAATTATTATATCTGGGTATTATTATTAACATAGAGAAAATTGAGCTGAAATGGATTTTAGATGGCCAGTTAGGATAACCACCTCATCTTAAACACACACATGTGTGTATATGTGTGTGTATGCATGCATGCATGTGTATATGTATCTGGGGTAGTAGTGGGATGAGGTTGATTAGGAGACTGCTGACCATTTACATGCCCTAATCCACTTGATGAAATTACAGGATATAAAGGACAAACCTTTACATCTCATTGTTAACTGCCTCTTACGTCCTATAATTTCGTCAAATGGGTTGGGACATTCAATCAGGGGTCTCCTAATCAACCCCACCTCCTGCTTGACTATACATAAATTCTGGTTCTCAGTGCTAAGCAATTTGCTTTCTCTTTTCTCACCAATCCTCCCTTTAGTAATACATTCTAGAATTTTACTATGGGCTGAATTTAAAGGTTATAAGTATATAGTTTGAAGAGTCAATCTTTTCTTTTTTTGAAAATTGGGGCATTTATCCCTCTCTTATCCTTTGTCACCTTACCCTTTTTTTCCCATGATTTTTTCAAAGATGATAGTGGTCAGTAATCATTTGTGCAAATATCTTGGAATGTCATCATTCTGGGCCTGGTGACCTGAATTCATTAGGGCAGTTCAATGCTTATACACTTTTTCACTCTTCTTGGAATCCAATTCCCTGTGCCAGTTTTTGTTTTATCATGCTTGGTCTCTAGATAACCCACATTGGAAGAGAAAACAGGGAAAAAACAAACAAACATGTAAGTAGCTGCTTTTACTCTTTTGCTTTTTGTTACTGTCCCATCCACACTAAGCAGTGTTCTTATCTAATCTTTTTTGACTGTTCTCTTTCCCACAACATAGCCTTAAAAAGCCATTTTTTGTCTTCAATAGTGTAAGTAAGGTGAATTTTAGTGTGTGTAAGGTGGATTTTTGTTATTCTTTCTTGGAGTTTTCTTCCCAGGATCCATAGCCATAACAATGCTTACTTCCCAGGTGTTAGATATGAGTTCTTACGAACATGACTGAAAACAGTTTCTACTGTACAGTCGCAGTAGATACAGGGATGAAGTAATATAAAATTATGAGGCTATTGCTGGCAATATGCCTTCTTTGTTGCCCTAAAAAGCAAGTGGGCACTAGTCAGTGAGTAGGGACCCCCTTAGGGGTGAATGCACAAACTGAAATGCTGTGCATGCTTTGATCGACTCCCATCAAGGCTTGGGAGGGGGAATCTGTGTGTTTGCCTCAACCAGCCCCATTGGGGCTTGAGGGGACTTAAGTGAGTGCACAAGTTATGCTTGTCTTTATTGACCCCATCGAGACGATGATAGTTGCCTCCCTTCACGCTGGTGCCTGCAAGAGAAGGGTTATTAGGGAATGCTGTAGGAGTTGGTTCTCCCATTATCAGCAAACCCCTTTTGAGTAGACTAGACTAGAATAAAGGAAGCTTATTTAACCCCTTATTATGACTCCATTCCTATCTTTCTTTCTGACTAGATCAAAAGCGAACCTGCTAGTGAGAGAGGTGCTAGAAGCCCTCCTGTGTCTCCTACCTAAGAATGGCGTAGTCGGGGTGTTTACCTGCACTACATAGTTTCACAATCCCTAGCTCATTTTGCTCCTTCAATTCCCCATATCATTTTAAAAGGGCCATGCCATTTTTATATTCATACACAGTTGCTTATTCTTGATTCCCTGTCTGTATATTTATGCTGAATGTGTGATTTCATCAGTATAGGGAGTTCCCTGTGAAGAAAGTTCACTTACCAAAGCAGATGAGAGCTGCTGCTGAAAATTACAGTCTTAGAAGTTGCCAAAGTCCCTGAGAAGTGAAATGCCTAGGTCAGTCAATGTGTCAGGAGCAGGTCTTGAATTCAGACCTTATTGACTCTGAAGCTATTTCCTTGCCCTCTCCTCCTCATGTATCTTTGAAAAATCTAAGTTGACTGAATACCTTTCCTCGATATTTGAAGTCTTTTTAAACTGCTCCCGCCTTGTCTTCTTTGTCATAATCCTATGTGTTACAAGAATTTCATTCTTGAGAGTACCTGATACCACTTAAGTCAGCTTTCCTGTAGACTTGGAAGTCTTGGGAAGCTATGTAAAATGTTCTCCATACCGTCTGAAATCTGTCCTTTCCAGATCTCTAACATCACTTGATATCCTAACATGTAGTCCTTGTCTTTCATACTTGCTAAACCTAAGATCCTCAGTTCTATCTTGCTTTTTTTGCCGTTATCCCTGGATGCTTGCTGCTTTGACAGAAGGTATGGTTGCCAAATCTGCTGTATGTCAGGTTCTGTTTCTGGGGCAACAGTTTTGAGCTAAACTTCCTCTCCTTTCCTAAGCTTTCCTGAGATTGTAAGCAAGCTTCTTGAGGACAAGAACTGATTTTGTGTTCCAAATGCCTAGGTCAGGACCTTATGTGTAGCAGGTGCCTAAAAAAATGTTTGTTGAAGTGACTTGAAGTAAATGACATCCTTTTCTTTCTTCCAGGCACTATTTGCTCAACTGTGTTTGAGCTTCAATGAGTAGATTCCTGTCTATCCCCTAATACAAACCAGTTAACAACTACTCTCAGTTGTTACCTGTGAGAGCTTCTGAAGAAACCGTTTCCAGCTGCCTCTTCTTATATCTCCTCTCCTTTCACCACTGATTAGACTATCAGGTACCATCTACTTGCATCTGCCTACTTGTTATACCATCCTTTTCAATGTCTATGCACACACACAAAGAGTCATACATATGCATGCATATATTGCCTATATGTAGTTATATATGTAACTCTATCCATCCATCTATCTATCTATCTATCTATCTATCTATCTATCTATCTATCTATCTATCTATCTATCTCTACCCCTGAGATAGGAGTGGGGTGAGTTTGCTCAGGAGTCTGATGATCAATTAAGTCCTCCAACCTCCTTGATGAAGATATAGTATACAAGGGGCAAACTTTACTTCCCATTATCTGTTTATTGCTGTTAAGTAATTATAATTTTATATTATTATAACTATATTTTATATTTATTATATATTTTATATTATTATAATTATAATCCTATAATTTCATTTTTTTTCTTTTTCTTTTGGCTAGGCAATGGGATTAAGTGACTTGCCCAGGGTCACACAGCTAGTAAGTGTTATGTGTCTGAGGCTGGATTTGAACTCAAGTCCTCCTGAATCCAGGGCTGGTGCTCTATCTACCTCGCCACCCCCATCCTATAATTTCAACAAATGGGTTGGGGCACTAATAACAACTATCTTGATCAAGCCTACCCCTTGTTTGACTATACATAAAAATTATATGTAAAAATATGATATATTTTTTGCTGTAACTCTTCCAGAATTCCCTGAGATCCTACCTGCCCTCCTTCATTTAACAGGGCAGACTTTAGAACATCTAGCAGCTACCTTGTGCAACTTCTGTGAACTGGTATGCCAGGCCAGTGTTGATAGCATCTCTTGCAAACCCTCCATGACTGTGCCTTCCTATTATTTACAGAATCACAGGCTGAAAGACTTAGGGCTGCAATGGACCTCAGAGGTCATTTAGGCTAACCCTCTTAAATTACAGATGAAGAAACTAAGATCCAAACGGTGTAAAGTGACTTTGCCTGAAGTCAAATAGTAGTAAATAGGTAGGAAAGGGAAGGGAATAAAAATCTATGTAGTACTTATTATGTGCCAAATGTTTTTTTTTTTTAAACAAATATTATCTCAGTTGATCTTCATAGTCCTGGAAAGTAGGTGCTATTATTATCCCCATTTTACAGTTGAGTTAACTGAGATAAACAGAGGTTAAATAACATGCCTAGGATCACCCAGTTAGTAAGTGTCTGAAGTCAAATTTGAACTAGGTAGTCCTGACTCCAAGCCCAGACGACTCTAGCCATGATGTTACTAGCTGTCCCTAGGAGAATCATGATTGAAATTCAGGTCTTCTGTTTCCAAGTTCAGTTTCTTTTTCCATTGTAACACATTACCTCTCCTCAGAGGGAGTCAGTGGTGGTTGCTGGGCTGCCCCATACAGGAAATTTTTTAATGAGATCACCTGAGACCCCTGGGTTTTCTACACCTTGGTTTGTTAAGACATTGAATAAAATTTTGATAATTGCCATTTTATGTGCCAATCTTGCTAGAAAATGATGCTACTACTCTCTCTTCACCTTGGAAAGGCTTTCAAGTCTTTTTCCCCCTCAGCAGTAATGTAGTAGTTTGTGCTGCTCTGTCCACATTCTCCCAGCCTTGTGTCCTTGATAACAAATACTCACTTCTCTAGCAGCTGTTATAGTATGTGGTAATGGAACCCAGTGAAGTCTTTGGTTCTATGTGCTAAACCTTAACGAACACTGACCTCAGAGAGTTCCTCCTGACACCAAGTTGATCGACTAGGGTGAGGAAGAAGTTTCAAATCTATTATTTTTTTTTATAATCTAGACTCATCCAGTCCTGCCCAATAGTGTGTATATGGCTATTGTGGGTCTCAGGACAGCTATAATTACTTAACTTAATCAGCAGCTATAAGTCAAGAGGCTTGTTTGCAAGGATACCACTCTTATTAGAATGTGGCCTCACTTATCTGCATGTACAAGTAGGATGTGTCATAACACGATGTCAAAACAATTGGTGTTGGTGAGCTGAAGTAGGCTAGTCATACACATGGGTGCAGAAGGCAAGAGCCAAGGACATGAAAGCACAATTTAAGCCATTAGAACCTTACCAGGGAGAGCTAGGAAAGAGACTGTACATTTCTTGGATGTGCAATTTTCTTTTTTGCATGTTGCTTACTCCATTAGAATGTGAGCTCCTATGCTTTCACCTTTCTTTGTATCCTCAGTGTTAAGCACAGTGCTGGCACATAGACACAGGTAGTCAGTTATTATTCAGTTGAAAGAAAAATACCCTTTCATAGTGAGGCAGAGTGCCAGAGTCCCAAATTCCAATCCAATATAATTCAGTAAGCATTTATTAAGCACCTGCTATGTGCCAATCACTGTCCTAACTCTTGGGGTACAAGTGATAAAAAGATGGTCCCTGTCCTCAAGGAGTTTACAATCTAATGGAAGAAGATAAAAGGAGGCAAGAAAATGGGGTGGGACACAACATGGTATATGCAGTTGGGGTGGGTGGGAGAATCTTGTTCTGTGGAGTTGAAACCAGGTAGAGCCGCAGATGCAAAGTATAGTGAACCAAAAGTCCAGTTTCTGTCCTCTACAAAGTCCACTCTCCAGCCCTCCAATTAGAGCGGAGAGGAGGGTAAGGAGGTGTTGTCAATCAAAGCTTGAGTTAGACCCTTGGTGATGAGTTTAGAGGTGATGAGCCTCACCTGGGAGGGACTCTTGTTCAATGGAGTTAAAACTAGGCTGAGCAGAAGTTGCATAATGGAGTTTAAATTGTGAATAGTCTTAGTAATAGTGACTATTATTTCTTACTTAAGGTCAGATATTTGGAAAGAAAGAGACCTGAGCTCAAAAATTACTATTTTTTCAATCACATTCTAGATAGAAGAAATTAATTCAATATCAACTAATATTAACTAAATGCTTATTGTGTGCACATGCTAGGAGGGGTAATGGTATGTGGAACTGGATCTTTGATTGCATTGGTATAAAAAACTCCTGGTTGAGCAAACTTCTTCTACCAGTGCAGTTTGGCACCTTCTCTTCAACTTAAGAGTCTTTCATAGTTGCCTGGAACATGGAGAGAATAAGTGACTTGCCTAGTGTTACACAGCTCACATGTATTAGATACAGGACTTGAACTTAGGTCTTTCTGGCTCAGAGGCCAGCCAGTTCTCTATCTGCTAAGCCATGCTGCAACTCACTAGGAGAGATACAGAGATGAAGTAAAATACACAGGGAGATTACAGTCTGTTAGGAGATATGATACATACACAAATAGGTATAATACAAAATAGCATATGATAAGTGCAAAAGGAAGTATGAAGGTCCACATTATGAAAAGCACAATTGGGAATGGCATATGGGTGATGATTATTATTGACTGATGGGCATCACAGAAAGCTTCATGGAGAAGCCAACATTTGAGCTGGGTTTTGAAGATGCTAAATGGTAGAAATGTGGAACTGGATGGTTGGGGAAAGCATAGAGAACTGCAAAGACAAGGAAACAATGGAGCACAGGGCATTTTGAAGGATAACAATCAATCCAGGATGATTGAACCATAGAGTTTAGGGAGGGAAGCATTTGCAATAAGATTGGAAAGGTAGAGCAGCATTCAATTACAGAGGTCCTTGAAAACCAGGTTAAGGAGTATGTGTTTTATTTGCTAAGCAATGGGGAGCTATTGGAAAGTTCTGAGAAGGGAAGTAATCAGATCTTCACAGGAGAAATTAATACTTAGAGGTAGGAGAATTAGAACAGAGTGGTGAGAGGGTGGAAGCAGTAAGATAGATTTAGGGTGTTATTGAAATATTAATCAACAGCCCAAGATGCCAGCTTCATTTCCCTTATCTCATCCTAGGCTGGCCCTTCTCATATCTTCAGAAAAGGGGGAAAAGTATCTGATATACAGGCTTATCCCATCTTGACAGAGACCTGATTGTCTCTCACCATGTAGATGATTAATATCTAAGCGTTTCTCTGATTTTTCTCGTAATTTTCTGAGTAATTATCCTTTTGGCTGAAATCTCAAAACCTGTCATGGAATGAGCAGTGAACCACTATGGAAAATGAGAAAAAATACATCCAGTTATTTTTAAATTTATAGAGGAGGAAAATATGTTTCCTTTCCATAAATAAGTTTAAGACCTTTCTCCCCACGCAGAGTGAACAAAAAAAAAACCCAAAAAACCAAAAA